AAAGGATCTTCAGTCTGGCTATGTGATGAAGGCCTCCTATAATGACTTGTGATGCACATCAGCATTCAGCTAGTTATATGTACAGTATGTCCAAATTCTATCAGGATGTTCTGATGGGCAAACAGGAAAAAGGAAATCTCAGAATTGCCATCATTCAGTCAACATGGCTACATTTACACTGTCATACCTACATAAACTGGTTGACTACATGTTGACTTTAGCCTTTAAAAACCTACAGGGCTTCTGCTTGAGGGATTTCCTGGCTTTACATGAACTTGTCCAGAAGTAGAATTACTCTTAAAGATGTCCCCACTTTCTGATATCCCTGTGTCAGGCCCAAAGGAGAAGATGTTCTCCTATGTTTCTCTCAAACTAGGGAAAGTACATTCTTGGGAGTCACACTGTTTTCTATTCTTAGGAAAAGCATCAAAAATTTTCTCTTTAGCCAGGCCTTTTCAGTTTGTGCCAGTTTAAATTGCTCTATATCAGGGGTCGGCAACCTTCTTCTGTGCATGGGCCACAGTACCACCACCACCATTCCCAGGGGACTTGTTCTGCCCATGCCGAAGCAGCTGGTAAAGCTGTCACCAAGATGGCTACCCAAGGAGGTGCTAAGTGCTCTCTCTCTTGCAGGCTGGGTAAATATATTTCTTTGGATGGCCACAGGCCAGATGATTTCAGGTGGCAGGCCACATCCAGCCTGCAGGCTGTAGGTTGCCGACCCCACTCTATATGGTAGTTTATTCAATTTTTATATTATGTTAATATTTTATTCCTGTAAGTAGCCTACTTGAGTGATCTGACAGTGAAAAGACAAGATACAAATATAATACAATAATTATACTATGCCACAGTTCATTTGCTCATTTTTTCTACCTTTTTTTCTCTCTTTCATCTTTCCATCTCAAAATGGCTAAATTAAATGACACAGATAAATATTGGAAACATCTTAAGAAAAATGAAAAGGTCTAGTTTACATGGTGAGTCTTAACTCCCTCTCTAAAAGACAGAGACTGGGAATCAACCACAAGTTCCTAGAGACTGAACTGCCTTGTTTGGGAGCCTTCTCACAAATGCCCAATAAACGGGATTCTGAAAGGAAAGGCATTTTTAAGAGGGCATTGCCTGCAGATCTTAACGCCTGGACAAGTTTATAATGAGAAAGTTTTAGATAGTTAGGCCTTAAGCTATTTAAGCTAGCTAAAGCTAAAATCTGCACATTAAATTGTGCCTACGAAACAACTGGTAACATTTGCAGATTGCTTAATTCAGGCATAATATGATCCTAGTATTGTGCACTGGTGACCTGCTTTGCTGCTGAATTTTGCACCAATTCAGATACTTTTCAAAGGCTGCTCAGAGTAGAACAAGTTGCAATATTTTTATCCACTGCTTACTGAATAAGCTAAAAGCTTCACAGATAAGCAAAATAATTATGGGCAGTTTAGCCAATGATTGGTTCGGTCTTTTCTTAGCTGTTTTTGCCTTGCATTTCTGTGCATTGATTAGAAACCTGAATAGGGCACAGAAACAAATCAAGATTAAGCTAAGAAACCACCAACCAACCAGGCATCCTTATTTTCACATCTTGCTAAGAAAGTTGCAGTAAGGAAATAACAACACACCTTGGTTTCAAATTGTGGCTTACAACCATACCCTCCCTCCCAATACACCATATTAAGCCAAAAACATTACTTACTGGCTTACTTCCGTGTGTGAATCTAGCAATATTTACTCAACTGCCTCTATCTATATTCAGAGAGAGGGTTGTATGTCCTCTCTCTGAATATGTAAGTGGGTTTTATGTCCTTCTCATCTCTAATAGCCTGTTGTGTTTAACTTTCATGAGGGGCAATACTTCTACTGACAAGGAGAAAAATTAGTTTTCCCAAAATAAACACTGCATCACCTTCAGAAAAATTGTTTTTAAAAACGCATGCTGTCTTCTTGACGTGCAAACCATTGCTTGTTTTCCCATGGTTCATAGCTAAATGAACCACTGCTGTATAAAGTTAGAGGACTGAATTAGGAGAGGAAAGACCCAAATTTTAAACCCCAGGTCATTGGGTGACTTTGAGTCAGATATAACCTCAAGGAGTTGTGGCAAGAATAAAAATAAATGGGAGACCACACACATATCACTTTAAACAATTAAAGGAAAGGCGATATCACAAATAAAATAAATAAATAGCTAGAAACATTTGGAAGCCCCTTTCAAGTGGAAACAGATAGATACCAAAAAAGTTGCTGCATGCAGTGTGAGATTGAAATAGCTGTCTCTTGACAAATGTCTCTATGATCTATTGTAGATTCAAATCTAGAAATGTCTACACCCTGTCAAGCTTCACCCTTCTTCTCCCACCCCCCATAAATCCAATGCAATTGCTTTTGAGAATAAAAGAAGTTGAAGGTTCATTAGAAGTCTTTCAATCTAGCTTCCTCCACATAAAAAGTAATAAACATTGTTGCTATTATTGATGCAAAAATAATTTAAAATTAGTAGCAGTCAATATAATCATCTCAAAGGGGAAAGTGCACAAGAAAAAGGGTATTGTGAATGTATTGGTCAGTTTTGTAATATGTAAGGAACCTTATTTGCCTTATTTGCATATGCAAATAATGTTAAGTACTTGATGGCCTTAATGCAACTCTGTCACTCTTACATAAAAATTAAAACAATAATACTTCCAAAACTTTGTATAAAATCTTGCATGAAATAAATGAGAATACCTTACCTATCACATATGTCTTGCAGAGTAATCCTAAGCACATTTATTGGGAAACAAGTCCAACATATTCAGGGGACATGGTATCAAATAAAAAGTTCATAGGAATGCAGCCTGAACGTTACACAAATTAATTTTGGCAATAAACCAAAATCTGGTTGACTACTTTAGCCACAGAAATACAAAGCATTAAAAAACAAAAAGAAAAGAAAAACACACAGTTTCTTCACTTCTACTCAAAAGACTAGAACAGCCTAATCTTTTCAAGACATTTTGACCAAGCCAGGCATATACGTAACATCTCAGATACTGATCAAAATCTGTCTTTTAAACAATTGTCCTTCATTCCAGACTTTAATGGGCACACCTACTTTTATAATAAATAATGTGCTACATGGAACAAAACCACTTTCCAAAAGTTCCAGGAGGTGATATAAAGGATTAAACCTTTTCATCTTGTTTTATCAAACCAGAACCATCATCACCCTTTGGCACACAATCTTGAATCAACCGAGAGTTGTCCTTAAGATTAAAAGTAGGAAAATATAGACTCCAACGATGTTTATATTGTTCTTTAAAACACATGAAAGTTCCACAAAACTCCATGGATATGCCATCTTATTTTGAATGATTTAGTCCTCTTGTACTGACCATACACAGGTAAATTTCTTCCCACTGGATAGAGAGTGTAGGGAGAAGACCAATACACCACTGCTATAATAGGGTAATTTTCTGGTTATGGAACTTTATGTTTTCCGCTCTCAACTCTCAAGCGAGTCAGTCGCTCCTACCAACCAGCCTTCTCATGCTAAAAATTGGTCAGGTCCTTTTCCCTGTTGAACTGAAATGCTACTTTGATTTCTCCCTCCCTCCCTCTTCTTTTGTCCTTCCCTTTTCCACACCTGTAGGTCAGCAGCCCAGGACAGCAACTCCACAACAGGAGTTTTGTCCCAGTGCTAGAGATGATCTTCTTGTGCACGACAACAATGTGCTGCACAGGCTCAGAAGAAAGGTGCAAGATACAATCTATTATTCCTGATCTCGAGACCCAGCCCACTGCAAGATACTGGCCTTCTCCCTTTACACTGGTAGGATCTGCAGTTACCAGGAAGCTCCCAAGGAGCCAGTAACAACTGCCATAAGGAAGAGGGAGTCATAGGGAGCTGGGAGGGGGAGATGAAGCCTGTGCAAGATTGTCTAACTCTTTCACCTTGCACATGTTTGGAAGCGGGGAAAAGAATACAAGAGAGGCCACTGTAGACTAGAGTGTTATGTATGCGCAAACAACAATCCCAGGATCACAGTGTCCTTCAGCGTTGGCGTGTTAGAACTTCAAGAAAATGTTAAAGTTATTTGATTTATTATGAACGCTCTTAAACAGTAGCCTTTATTGCTTATTTCAAGGTATCCCAATGTACAACCTACAGTTTTTCAAAGAATTTTGACATCTTTAATAAAGTGCATTTTGTTTTTCCTTTTACTTGGGGGTTTAAGGAAGTGAAATTCATAACTTTTCATCATGGAGTGGAATAATATTTTATGCCACATGTACAAACAACCTAGTGAAAAACCGAAACAATATTTTTATCTAAAATCACTTCCTCTCACTGGAGGGGGGAGCCCCATATTCCTCCCCCTCCCCCAACCTGTACTCTACAATATGGTTATTTTCTGATTCTGGAAATCAGGGCGTTTTTAATCCCCCCGTG